TACAACACCGAGGACCTGCGGGGGGAGCCCCACACCGTGGCCATCCGGGGCGAGGATGACATGCATGTGACTGAGGAGGTGTATAAGCGGCCCCTATTCCTGCAGCCCACCTACAGGTACCCCAATGTCCCGAGGGTGAGTGGGACCCCAGCGTGCTGGCATGGGTGCTCTCTGCTGCTACCCTCCTGCCACGGCCTAGTTTCCCCAGCTGCAGGCTAGACTGAGTTCCCCACATCCTTCTCTCTCCGTGGTGGTGGTGTTTATGAACTTTGCTTGGCAGTGTGGAGTGTGGGGGGCTGCTCAGGGTGTGAGGCCTGCCTGATGGGCTGCTCCCCTCACCTGGCAGGTACCATCGCCTACCTCTGCCAGAGCAAGGGGCCCCCCTGGAAGCCCAGTTTGATGCCTTTGTCAGTGTCGTCCGGGTAAGTGGGATGGAAGGGGTGGTGGGGACATGGAGTGGGGCAGGTGCCTCTGAGAGTAAGTCTGTGTCTAGGCCCCATCTCCATGGTGATGCTCAGGGTGGGCGTGGCCTTTGGCTTTCCTCAGAGGAAGGCCTTGTTCTGCATTGTGTACCAGGCTGTGGATGTCAGGGTGTGGGGTGTGTACATCCCTGTGTATGTCTCTGTGTGGTGTACGTGTCTGTGTGTGTATCTGAGTCTCTGTGGGTGTGTATGACACATCTGTGTATGTCCCTGTGTGACATCTGTGCCTCTTGTGTCTGGGTGTCTCTGTGTGTCTCTGTGTCCCTGGGGTGTGTATGTACATGGTGTCTTTGTGTGACATCTGTGTCTGTGGGGTATGTATGTATGTATATGTTTTTGTGTGTCTCTGTACGTGTCTGTATCTCTGGGGTGTGTATGCACGGTGTCCATGTGACATCTGTGTGTGGGTCTGTGTGGGGCATGTATGTGTACGTCTTTGTGTGTCTCTGAATGTCTGTGTGTGTCTGTGGGGCGTGTATGTACACATCTATACATGTCTCTGTGACATTTGTGTTTGCGTGTGTATGTCTCTGTGTGTGTGTACGTTTCTGTGTGTGTCAGTGGTCTCTGTGTGGATGTTGGGTGTCTGTTTGTACATTCGCTAATGACAGAGTCCAGCACTGACCGTCTGGAGAATTGGACTCTGGTTGTGGCTGGGCTGCTGACTTGCTCAGTGATCTTGGACAAATCACCTAACCTTTCTAGGCCTCAGCTTCCTCATTTCTTTAGTGGACAGTCTTCAGCTCCCATTTCCTGAGTGCTGGCCCTGTGCCAGCTTCTGTCCCAGCCCCCTTCAGGGCACTTGTTAATTTGCACCTCACAGGGGTGTCCAGTACAGGCCTTGTCCCCTCTGAGGAAGTCTCCTTTCCTGCAGCACCCACCCACTGAGCTCCACCGGGCTCGAGGCGGAGGCAGGCCTGTGCTCACGGGGCAGGTGGAACGGATAGGATTGTGGGGCTTGATGACTTGCCCACTGTCCTGACGGGTTTGGGGACAGAGATGAAATGATATCTCTGACCCCACCTTGCTGCAGATTGTGGGGTGGGGGTGGACTTAATGTCATGGTCCCCTCCCCAATTTGTTCCTCAGCCGAGGGGTTTCTGGATCCACAGTGTTGCCAGATATTCATGGTCTTTCCTCAGGAGACCCCCAGCCTGCTGCTGCTCCGTGACTCCCCTGGGCCTCCCCCCGCCCTCCTCTTCAGCTGCCAGACGGGCGTGGGCAGGACCAACCTGGGCATGGTCCTGGGCACCCTCATCCTGTTTCACCGCAGTGGGCCCGCCCCGCGCCCAGAGTGAGTGGCCTGGGACCCGGTGTCTCGAGGGGCTGGGGACATGGAGAAGAGGGGATGGTATGCCCTGAGGATGACATGTCCAGGAGCTGGGAGCCAGAGCTGGAAAGTGAGGCATCTGGGGCTCATTTCCTGGTTTGCCACAGACTTGCTGGGTGACCTGGAGAAAGCCACTTGACCTTTCTAGGCCTCAGTTTCCCCAGGGATAGAAATGCATCTTGCCTCTCCAATCTCATTTGGAGGGAAGACTTATGGTGTTTCTCACTGGCTATATGAGCAGGCAGGAGTGGGCAGCATGGCCACCCAGAGCCACTGGGAGCCCTGACACATGCCACTGACCCCCTTCTTTGTCAGGGCTGTCTCCCTGCAGACCAAACCCTTACCCATGGAGCAGTTCCAGGTGATCCAGAGCTTCCTCCGCACGGTGCCCCAGGGGAGGAAGATGGTAGAGGAGGTGAGCGAGAGGGCTGGCAGGGAGCTGGGGCTGGGACCATGGAGTGGGGAGGTCTCGCCACCTACTGCTGGGGGGTGTCTTCTTTCCCAGGCGCTGGGGCCGGGACCTTGAAGGGGGAGGTCACGCCACCTACTGCTGGGGGGCGTCTTCTTTCCCAGGAGCTGGGGCCAGGACCATGGAGCGGAGAGGTCACGCCACCTACTGCTGGCGGGGCGTCTTCTTTCCCAGGCGCTGGGGCCGGGACCATGGAGGGGGGAGGTCACGCCACCTACTGCTGGGGGACATCTTCTTCCCCCGATGCTCCCATCTTCTCCCTGCTAACCATTCTCTTTCCGTTTCTCTCTTCTCTTTTATCTTCTGCCATCTTTCCTCTGCCCTGGTCCTGGGTACCAGGTGGACAGAGCCATCACTGCCTGTGCAGAGTTGCATGACCTGAAGGAAGTGGTCTTAGAAAACCAGAAGAAGCTGGAAGGCATCCGGCCTGAGAGCCCAGCCCAGGTGAGGGCACAGAGGAATGGCATGAAAGCTTCTGCTCTTGCATCGGGCCTGCAGCCTAATTTTGTTAGGCCTGGTGAATGGTTTTTTTCAGACTGACTTTTCCTGGCTGCTGCTTGTCCCATGAGGAGAGCAGATTTCAGGGGAAGGGAGATGAGGGAGCTGGGCCTGCCGGAAGGATGGACAGAGAAGAGGGAAGTTTACTTTCCCTGGACAGGTCCCCTCAGCTGCAGGATAAACAGGATGGAGGAGGGGCTGCTGGCTAGGGCACCCCCAGGGGGCCTCTGGATGCAGATACTTCCCAGGCTGCTCATGGCTCCCCCCAAAATAAAGCCCTGGTGTTTCTTCGGGAAGGCTGGGGTTTGGTCCAGCTTGCTGCTTCTGGAAGAATGATGAGTTCTTGGCTCTCTCAGCAGGAGGATGGCTTGACAGGTGTTTGCTCACAGTGCCTGGAAAGAATCTTAAGCCTGCAGAGCCGCCTTTTTTTTTTTTTTTCCCAATATTTTATTTTATTGTTGTGGCAATATACACAACAGGACATACACCAATCCAACCATTTCTACATGTACAGTTCAGTGACATTGATTACATTCTTCAAGTTGTGCAGCCATCCTCACCCTCCTTTTCTGAGTTGTTCCTCCCCTAGTAACATAAACTCATTGCCCCCGGAAGGTTCCTGTCTAATCTTTCGAGTTGCTGTTGTCAGTTTGATTCCGTAGAGATAGTTCTTAAAAGAGCATAATGCTCAAGGCAGACCTTTTTTACTAGTTAAACTGAACTATTTTTTGGTTGTAAGGTGACTTCAGGAGATATTTTTGGTTTAAGATTTAAAAATTATCTCAGGGCAGTTGTTTCAGGGGTTCATCCAGCCTTCATGGCTCCAGAAAGTCTGGATTCCATGAGAATTTGAAATTCTGATCTGCATTTTCTGAACCTGTTTCTTCTTTTACACTTTTTTTTTTTTTTTAAAGAAAATTTAAAAGCAGTGTTACAGAAAATTGGGAAATAGGAGGAAAGAGAAAAAAATCACCCATGAGCCCAGCATAGCCACTCTGAGCATTTTTGGCTGTTTCCAGCCTTTTTTATGCTTAGGTTTTTGTGTAGGCTGCCCCAGCACACGTTTGACATCCTGCTTCTTTTGTTTAACCTTGCAGCATCAGCCTTTTCCATGTCAGTACTGGTTTTTGTCCTTGAGGTTTTAATGCCTGTGCAGTTTAAGCCCACTGGATGGTTCAGCCATCATTGGCCTGATAAGAGCGTGGGCTCCACACCCAACTGCCTGGGTTCCGGTCCTGGCTCTGTCACCTACAGGCAGTGTGGAGTTGGGCCATCTGCTTAACTTTCTGTGCCTCAGTTTCCCCATTTATAAAATGGGGGCCGGTAATAGTAACTACCTCATAGGGTTGTTCCGAGGATTACATGCGATAAAATACACAATGCACTTAGTGTACACACTGCTGAAGCGAGTATTACATAATGCACTTAGAATGGGGCCAGGTGCAGAGCACGTGTCCCTGAATGTCACCTGTGATGATTTACTAAACTTCCCCCTATTGTTGGACAATCGAGTTGCTTCTAGTTCCTCACCAGTGTAAGTGCTTTTATGATGAGCATCTTTGTGCAGTGACACTAGGAGTTTTTTCCTTAGACTAGATTACCC